GCAGTATGGACGTTTTTAATATTGTCACTTTTTGGAGGAAACTAGTTTCAGTGGTTGGAAATATTCCATTACTTTATTTTAACAAACAAAACTGGATTTTAATCGTAATACTGAAATTTCCTAGCTAATTTTGCATACAATCGTGGTCTTGCATAGACACACTGTTTTAGTGCTGGAGAGCAGTGGGGACAGACGGAGACTGCTATCTGCTCGCTGTCCCAACCTCAGACCCCGGTCGCTGCACAAAGGTTGACGCCCAGAAACCTCCCCATATCCAGCAAAATAAGAAGACCCAGGCTGAGGACAGTGATCTCTGCAGACAGGGACACCGTCACACACTTCTAATAAGATAAGATAAGATAAGATAAGATAAGATAAGATATGATGATTGAGAGTATTTATGTTAATATAAGTTTGTTATCAAATAGTCGTGATTAATGCGAATGGTCCCATTTCCCGAGTTGGAAAGTCGTTCTTCCGACTTCATGAGCTTTAAATTGTAATGTAATAATGAGCGGTAGTTTCCCTAAAACCACTTAAATATTGCTTTCCCTGACTTGTTTTCAAGGTTATTGCTAATAAATATAATTTCTCATGAATCAAGGTCTCTCTATGTGGACAGTAACTAATGGTTACAACCTTGACACAAATGACATGTGAGCAAAACATTTAATAATGAAATAATAAAAACTAACTTACCATCAACCCAACATTCACTTTATGATGTGAACTTGTGTTCATGTCTCTCCCATCGTTATCTTTTCCCCTTTTCCCTCCATCACTTCCTCTCTTCTTTTTTTTTTAAATGTATTCCCTGTGAGCACTTTGTTGGAGGACAGATACTTTCTCCTCCTCCTCTTCCTCCTCCTCTCTGTGTGAGGTCGGAGGTGTGTTCCTGAGGGATTCACAGTTGGACAGCAGAAACCTCCGACCCAAAAAAAAAAAAGATGTTTGGGGGAATCCTGTAATATATATATTTTTCTGAACTGATTTACATGCAGAGCTGGATGTGTGAGTTTTTACTGAGCTGCTGCCAAAACGACCTCGGGCTCCTGTCAGCCTGGACAGGAAGAGGAAGCGGGTTTCTCTCGGTGTACAAGGTCATCAGGAGGTGACTTCTGTTTTCCTCCAGGATTCTGAAGTTTTGTGAAAGTGCTGCAAGTCTCGGACACTTGTTCCTGCTAATGAGACGATTTAATCCACCTCTTCGTATTCAGAGTGACACTAAATGCTTTTTGGCCTTCGACTGTTTCTGCTGATGAAGCTCAGACGGCTGCAGATATTTAGTTTTAGTCTCATTTAGTCCATATAGTCACATTTTAAATTGGCTAATGTTAACAAAACACTGGCTAATTTATGTTGATTGTTAGCTAACTAGTTAGCTACATTTCCCAGCTAATGTTGGCTAAACACAACTAATTAGCTAACGATTCATGTAGATCGGCTTGTTAGTTAGCTAACGTTTGTTAACGTTAATAATATTAAGGTAAGGTCTGTCTGTTTAATTTTTTAACCATATTCAAAATGTGTTTTTTTTTTTTTTTTTTTTTTACATAGATTAGCTTAGCACGTAGCATATCTAAGTACAGGAAATGAGAAGGTCCATTAATGTTTTTTCTAAAAGGAGAAAGTCATATTCGTACGTATGTAACACAGAACAGGGCGTCCAGTTGAACACAATGTCATCAGACCTTTATACAGAAGTGAAAAATGTTCTTTTTCTTCGCCTGAAGATGTGTTTTTTTCCACATTTTGTCAGGTTTTCAATCTGAGGAGGAATGTGTTCATCAGCCGGTGCAGGTAAACACTGTATGAACAGAAAGGTTCAGTTATTCAATCATAACTGTAAAGATTAAATCTTTAAGGAATCCAGGTGCTCAAAAGAAAAGTCCTTCACTTTTTCTGTAATTTGTGACAAAGTGGTTTGTGCAGGTTCTCCTCAATGTGGATTAAAAGTCCTCTTCACTGATGTCTCTTTATATGTAATCAGCATTTTTATCAACAAAGAGCTCATTAGTTTAAGTGAACATCGTTCAAGTCGATCAGAATATCGAAATTTAGCTTTGAATGCTTTCTCAGGAGGTTATTTTTCTCAGTTTTGGCCCTTTTTCATCACTATGACAGTTTTTTTTCTCACGATAGACTGAGATTTTTTTAAATCTCTCGTATTTTATATCTTAAAATGTTGGTCTGGTGTCTCAGATCGTCTGAGCTGTTCGGTTACAGTCGGAGGCTGTGTGTTAGGAACTGTATGTCGCATTTGAATGCCAATATGCACAATGCAGCTGTTGTCATTAACCTGGATTTCACCCTTAAAGGAACAGGTTTTTTTTTTAAAGGGTTGAACAAATGCTTTATTATAATT